TATGCTAGATATATAGGATAGAGAAGTTCTGTTGTAATGATGTGGATCGTTGATTGAGGGTAGCGCCGTTGTCGCTGATGTGGTATCTGGTGTGAAGACGTTATCGCATTCCTGTCCTGCCTGCCTTGCGTGAGATGCTTGACTTTGATGTGTTTTCCCCTGATACGTGGAGAAGATATGTGCTTGCAGTCTGTCGTTCTTACTGATGACGTGAATGGCTAATTTTGCCTTATGAATATTCTTCTAATCGCAGTATTTCGACTATTTCTTGGTATATGCTTAGTAGCTCGAAAGTCCTGCTTTCGGCTCGTTTATTGCAATCACTATTATCCAACATGTTATCCAAGCCGTGGCATTGGTTTACCCTTGCCTTGCAATCACGATTTCATTGATTGAAAAAAAATGGTTTCCGTTATCGCTTCATATTTATTAGAGGTGTTGCGCATGCGACGTAAGCACCGATCTCGGCCACAGATATTGTCGTAGTTACAATAGATATTCTGCGAGAGATTCACAGCAACTTCGCGTGTTTATTTAATACAGGTTTCGTGATATATAGGGTGCTCGCTCTCGTCGTTGATCCCTGATCAATTATTTGAATGCGAAATTGCGCTTATAATCGTACAACAGGATTTAGAAATAGTTCACTTTATTGCTTTCGATGGTCGTGATTCTTTAATACTGAGTGTAAAACTTCTCTGTTCCTGGTATTTTCGCTTCGAATAGTTATCTCACGCGTGACTGGTAGGTAGTTTGACTGCGTTTCGCAGACGTTAGACATGTCAGATGCAAGCCCCACGCAAGGCAGAGCCCGACATGATGTGATTGTTTTATCGAATTAAGCATGGCGTTTGTTTTCTACTCTCTCAGAATTGTTCGTAACAGTTTTACTGATATGATGGTTTCTCTGTTGATTGTTCTTTATTTGATGGTTTGCTTTAATTGTTATTACCACTGCCACTATTAATTACGATTGATGATTGATGTATTGCTGTGCGGATTAAGTACGATATCGTATTTTGAATGTAAAGTCAATTGCGCACGCACATACGCAAGTTCTCTCCCCCCCCCTCCGGGCACACGCACGGACACGCATGCACAGGTACACGAACGAACGAGCACGCAGACTTATACACGCATGATCACGTACATACGCGATACTCATTGTATAACTAGGAGTCACTCCTGGCAATAGACATAGTAACTCTGCCACGCGTACAGGCAGGCGTAAGTGGTTGGTGTACGGTAGCGCAGTTGTCTGCGTTATATAAGCTGTTCGCCGTTCACCACACAATAGTTCTGTTCGTCTCTCACAGAAACCCTTCGAAGAATCATTCCGTCACGTATGTTGCGTGATCGCGCTTTTCAACATTTTTCGAACCTTTAAAATCGCCGAAGCCTGCTCCAGTTGAGTATGGTGTGTGCATGACGTACGTTATTAGGCACATGAGCACGTATTCGCTACAGTATTGGAGGATGCATGTCAGGTATTAATTAACGTAAGCTTAGCACGCATTATATCTCGCCTGCCGTGTGAAAGCAATAGCTCGGCAGTCAGCTATAGCGCGTGTAGTGCAGTGGTAAAGATTGGTATGACTCGAGCCGTGAACCGTTCATCATTAATTATAACACCCAAATACACTCACTTACGTTTGTCTACTAGTGACGATTTTAATGCAAATAAAAGTTTATTTTCAATCGATTAGTGCTCAATGAGTTTTTGGTCTTCGTGTTAGTGTTGGTTGGCGTAGTCAGAAAGCCTCGAGCCGGTACGACGCACTATGCGTTTAGAGAATAAAGACAGACGTTTATCAAAACGAATATTTATTTTAATTGTAATCATAGTTTACAATAATAGTTATATGATTGCACGAAGTAGTGCATTAAAAGGGGTGCTAAGAATATTCATCGTTCAGCCATAATAAGTTAATTTCTTTGCTAAGTAAGAATGCACCTCTATAACGCATACATTTGTATACGAATATGTGTGCGTGTGTGCGCGCATGTGTGTGTGCGTGCGCGCATGTGTGTGTGCGTGCGCGCATGTGTGTGTGTGTGTGTGCGTGCGCGCATGTGTGTGTGTGTGTGTGTGCGTGTGTGCGCGCATGTGTGTGTGCGTGTGTGCGCGCATATGTGTGTGCGCGCATGTGTGTGTGCGCGCATGTGTGTGTGTGTGTGTGTGCGCGCGCATGTGTGTGCGCGCATGTGTGTGTGCGTGTGTGGGCGCATGTGTGTGTGCGTGGGTGCGCGCATGTGTGTGTGCGCGCGTGTGTGCGCGCGCATGTGTGTGCGTGTGTGTGCGGGTGTGCGCGCATGTGTGTGTGCGTGTGTGCGCGCATGTGTGTGTGCGTGTGTGCGCGCATGTGTGTGTGCGTGTGTGCGCGCATGTGTGTGTGCGTGTGTGCGTGTGTGTGTGTGCGTGCGCGCATGTGTGTGTGTGTGCGTGCGCGCATGTGTGTGTGTGCGCGTGCGCGCATGTGTGTGTGTGCGTGCGCGCATGTGTGTGTGCGTGCGCACGTCTGTGTGTGCGTGCGCGCGTCTGTGTGTGTTCGTGCGTGCGTGTGTTTATAAACTGTCGAACTGTTTCTAATTGTTGAAAGTGTAGCAGGTATCAGAATTTAGTGGGTTGATATAAAATATAAAATATAAATTAAATGGTTTCCATTTCATTGGATTAGAACCAATGTATAGTAAATGCAGATTGTCCATACATAATCGAGTCACGTGGTGCGCGCTTGTAAAAATTTGTTCCCAGTAGAGTGATTGACGGGTCTCATCAGAAATAGCGAGCTCATGCCGCCGCTTCCTTAACTGTTTGCTTTTGTTTCCATCGGTACCTATCCACTAACCGATTTAATCTTTGAACAACCCCCGATCCAACGGTAAACGGTGAATCTACCAGCGAACAGACGTAACGCATGCTGTGGTTACGAAGGTAATATAACGTTCAGTAAGTAAATAAAGCGCACGTGACAATAAATATGGGTCTACACATCTGATTATCTCAACTAACCTATCTTGATTATTAACCGTAGTAAGTTTTGCTATGATAATATACTGTCTGTGTCATAAGAAGGAATCCCTTTTGGGTCTCTCCATACCATTTCTATGCAATAGCGCATATATTTGCGACCTTTCCCATGATGCTGTGAACGCGTGATACGGGGGAAAGATGGGCGCCAGTGTCGCCTGTTTGTGTAGAACGGATCTGTGGGGACACCTTACCATCTACACCTTGCGCATCTTACGTTTTGCAATAGAACATTTTGAAACGATACAGTGAGTTTTGGCAGTGGAGAGCGGTGAGTAAACGTACCGTCTTTACTGTGTGAATCTATTAGAACGTGCAAAATAAACCTCTGTTTATTCACATATTTTCCCGTCTGTTTGAGTTATGATATCTCCAATTACCAAATGCACGCCACATTTGCATGGAATAACCAAATAACTTAATCATAAAACTTCCTTACCGTTAACTTGTTGATATCCTATTCGTGCTAAAATTATTTAATTTAAGAATTTTCGTTCGCCATTTACCAACTTTATTTATTTCAGTATTGTTTTTAACGATTTAGTACATGTGTCTTTGAAATGAATATTGTTGAATACGGAACAACTAATGAAAGTATCTCGAAAAATTGGCTTCACTGCTAATTAATTAGCAAAACGTTCGCTTTTAAAAAATCGAGCAAGTTTTTAGATACAGTTTTCTACGTGAAACCCATACTTCTGCATAATTCTTCCCTCTAAGTGCTTCCCTCTCCGCGCAACCTTACATGACAACCTTTTTTTCTGCCAGTTGACAATTTCTGGGTAAACGGCCAAGTTAAATTTATATTAGGTAATGTCTTTTTCTTGATCACGTTTTTAGGAATTTTTATTTTGTTATTTGTCGAGTTAGATGAAGATTACGCAAACGAATATTCGTTTACGGTATATTACGATAACAGCCGCTTCATTAGTTTCGACATAGCCACATTACAAGACAGGTGATATGCCAAAGATAATGAACTATGATATTTCTGTATAAAAATATGACATGGAATAACCATGAACTATGTCGTATAATGAATTAGCGATTGCATTTCGCCACTTTATTGTGATTTGTCCCGTTGACGTATTTAGAAAAAATGTCCGCAGGCCACAGGCCATGCACTCATATCTCACTGGATCCATTGATTTGCTGGTACTTTATTATTATCAGGATTATCAGTAGTGCCGTGTATTGTAACCCGGAATAGATACATCGCTATTAAGCAGATATAAAAGCACTAACGGTATCCCGTTAGAGTCCTGATATATATACATGTGTACAAGCAATTGACAGAGCTATAGATGTAAGCTTGCAAATCCATCTCCCTTCCTTTTTCCCATGAGTTAGGTGCTTAATCAACCGTACGTTGCCTTCGTGAAAACTCGCTAATCGGGGCGTGCGCGATTATGATATCTAGCCAAAGCGCCAATGGCCGTAGTCATCGTATCGTTTGTCCGTGTTACTTGCCGCCAGCTGCGATCGGCCGAACCGCCAGTGTCCGTAGTCATCGAAGCGCTTCTCATCGCCGCTGTCGGCATCCTCAAACATTGACCACGCCTCGTTTTTTCCATTGATCTCGTTCGCATCTGCACCGATTCCTCCTGAATGAGAGAGAAACCCCGAATGAAAACGCTAACGCACGCGCACGTCAACTTCAAGGATTCCTTCCGTCGCTAGAATGTGCATGAAAAGTGCATATATTTAACAATGTTTACGAAATTCTACTGTTTTAATTTACTGTTACTGCAGTACTATCGATTTATCGATAGCAATCCTCTGGACGCTTTGAATTGGAACCTGTAATGATGAAATGGTATTATTTCATCAGGAATGCATAATAGATTGTTATGCACTCCTGATTTTATGTATACCGCAAAGCACAGAACATCTGAATTTAAACCACACAATTAAAAAAAATACTTGCAACGGACCATTTTATTATAATTATACACACTGTGACAAGATTACCTATTTACATAAGGATAGCTATAACAGTCAGGGGGCCGGAAATCGCAGCCAAGATTGACTGAGGGAGCCTAAGTAACCTAATATGGGTAATCGCTCGGCGCATAATCTAAATACAAGCGCATGCATCATATTGTCATGAGTGACTTAATATAGATGATACATCTATATTATAACCAAAACAGTCCTGATATTGTAACATAATTGAATGACGTATAGACGGGGTAGCAGCTATCAACAACACAGATCAGCCACATCAATTCTCTGCGAATTGCCGGTGACTTTCATACACCTGGGAGCGGTGTCAGGTTCAGGCAGAACCATTATGCACTAACTGGATTCAACGCACGAAGCGCGTGCGAAATAACACATAATATTTCTTTCCATACATTCAAGAGCTAATAATACATATTATTAGCTTTTGATACATTCTATAGGAAATCCGATTCTGTCATGGCCGATGGATGTCAAAGTGATAGCCTACTACTTACATTCAGGATTGCTTGTATAATGCCTACATCTACTTATCGTATATCATTCTTATTTAACTACTAAAATTATCCGATGTTTGCTTATTATCCCATTCACTATTGTATTTATGTCACCTATAGGAGCTCACCGCTGATCTAGAACAAACCTGGACAGGGTAGTGCATGTCCATGACAGCGGGGAGTACTCGGTAACGATGCTGTGAGAAATAATTATAGAAGCTGACCGGGAATGGGTAGCACAAGAGAAGGTCGGGGGGCTAGGTCACACTGGATGATTGCATGTGGATATCGTCTGTAACACTGTGAACTAATATTGTCATGCTACGGTTGATACACAATGATAATATCAGGCGCGTATAATAATGGATACTACTAATAATAATCTATTATTATACACTTCTGATATTATCCTAATATTAGCTGTTGAAGAAGATGTAGCGACTGTTTGTGTGAGGACGAGTTGTGCGAGGCTGTAAACAATTAACGATGGTGACGTCGCAATATTGTTTACGCAGTGGCTACACGTCCGGTCATCCATTACAAAGCTCAGTACAGATTCCCAAAATCCACGTTACGATTAGGCCACGCCCCCTTTCAAATAGTTGATTTTACTGGATTTACTATTGCTTCAAAAGTTACAATAACACATTTTTTTGATAAAAATACCTAAAGGTAAATGGTAAAAACTTCTTGTTTATTGTTTTTACTGAAAAAATATAGTTGGGTTCACATAAGAAATATATGACCGGACGCGTAGCCTGGGAGCTCGGCGTCCGGTAAGCGGACGCGTAGCCACGGCCTATTGTTTATCGAAACCATGTAGAGCGATGAGCTTCAGTAGCTGTTAGACGTTTCTAAGGTTCATACACTAAAACATTAAGACCTGGTTACTTTGATAGCAGCCCATATGTTATGCAACCCTAAACGAGAAGAATAGAGGGAGCGTCCGGCCTGCTAAAATTTTACTGAGAAATAAACGAACGAATACGGGATCTATAGTCACACGTGATTATTCTATTTATATTATATTATATTATATTATATTATATTATATTATATTATATTATATTATATTATATTATATTATATTATATTATATTATATTATATTAATATTTATAATTATATTTATATATTTATTATATTATATTATATTGTGATTATTTTATATGGTGCCCCGCGATATTCGCCGTGATGCTAAATAAACTAGTAAGAAGTAAAACAATGTTTAGGTAAAGGGCCTAATGTCAGCGATGGCGATAGAAACCTCGCGATAGAGCTAATAGAAACCTAATAACAACATTAAAAAGAAAATGCAGGTGCATGGCTCAATGATTACATTCGCGGCAATGTGAAAAGATTCAAGTCAAGAACTTCAAACGCGACATCCACTCCACAAAATGGTCACGGGTCTTACAAGAGTTCTATACATAAATTTATCCACTCGGAATTATATATAAATAGGTTTGTTTTCTTGCCGTTTCCATGTTACATAAATGTACTTATGACCTTTAATGACGCGGTATTACTAAGTATAGTAACACATGAGACTGCATTGTTAGGGTACACCATCAACATGTCCCATCATGTAGATAGAAACGGAAGTGCATGTGCTCGGATTTCAGTGTATGCCAATGTAAATCAAGCACGTGTACGGCACAAATATACCGGAGTGTACAATATAGACTCCATATTATTCTATATTATACAGTCCTGTAGGCCTATATAATATAAACACGTTGATCTAATAATACGATAATAGGCCTAGCGTACGCACGCATGTGTGATACGCTTGCACTAATATGTACGTCGTTCTACTAGTCACTAGTGTAATGCACACGTGTATTACTAAAGTAACAGCGAACACGCGACATTGTTTCATCGTAAACACGGGATCGACGCACGTACCTGTTGGGTTAACCTTTCAAGTAGACGAGTAATTAAGAGCATATTTTTTAATCATTTACTTCAACTACTTCGTCAGTTATATCACGTCTGCCTTCGCTCGTATTCTCGCTTCTACACGGGATGTCGATCCAACGTAATCGTTGATGACGTCATGCGTATGGAATTTTTTCTTGTTGTTTATAAACAGCGGGCGGCAGCAGCAGATGCTTTTCCTGTGTATGCTCATGTACTGTGCAGGTTACAGTCAGGTACTAGCTGTGTCGATTTCGCGTCGCTGCTCGATGCGCTGAGCGGGCGGCGAGGTAAAACGCTTTTCATTTTCACGCAATGTTTTGTTTCACGTCCTTCGGGACAAGCGCCTTACATTATTGACGCGCGTGCCTACACCAGCACGAATTGCCTTCGTCCAACTACTTTGAAGATCCAGTCCCTGAAGTAAACTAACTTCGTGGTAATTTCGTGGTTACGTCCATCGCTGCATGATGTCAAAATTAATGAGATTGTGCTAAAGATTTTTTGCTATCACCAACAAACAATAACCAACAATGGTGTGCACGCATTTTCGCCGGTATAGGTTTCGATTGTATACTACAACCATCTATTCCTGTGACAATATTTAACTCATGAAAATGGGAAGTTGTCATTTCTAAACTTATGCTAAACTAAATGCTTACGTTGTGCATTTCCGTATATGTATTATAAAGAGTGTTATAGTGGCCTAATTCATTATAATAAATATCCCAAACCACATAATGAAAACACAAATATGGAATAATGTATAACTACACATGCTCGCACGTGTACGCGCCCACGCACACGCACACGCACACGCACACGCACACGCACATGCACAGCAGATGTTCGTCTGCATGCGCGCGTACACACTCGCACGCGCATTGGCACACAGCTAAGGAGATTGCAATTAAGCACAAGAAAGTTATAAAAAAAGAAGTTTGCAATATTCTTTGAGATGTGTCCTTGAATTAAAATTTATATTACGCGATGACGGTTTCAAAACTTCAAAACGATACCTGACGTGATGCTTTCGGCTTTGGCGCGTGATCGCTGTAATAATGGCAGCAGCTTCTTCATAATATCGTGCAGGTCGTCGGCGTTAACATTATGTGGCTGAGGTGCGGTCTGCACCGCACAGATGGCGCCCGCTACTATTAATATTAATGCGATGTGTTGCATATCTGAAACGAGAAACGATGAAAGCATTTTTTTAGAGACACATTTCCCTAAAGTGTTGTGTAGTCGACTTTTCCTGCATCCCAAATATAAACATTTGCAAGTTAAATACATGATGCGAAAATGCAGGGCCGGTCTGAATGCAAATCTAATTCAGCTAGCGTCTCGGAAAAACGCAACCACTGGGAATATGTATCCAGGTTTTCCTTAGCAAAGGGTGTTGTCGGCAGATTACAGCCGGCTCTGATTGTATCTGGGTGTTGAGGGGCTGTTGTATTTACAGCACGACGAAAGTCGTGTCGATATTGCATTGTTTCAAAATACAAGCCCCTTAATTACACCTCTAGAAGTTCTACCGACAATCAAATGTCGATGATTACGGCGCTCGATAATCTGCCAGAAATGACGCGGCGACTGAAGAATACGTGAGGACAAAGACCGGCACAACACGTCAAGGTCAGGAGATGAAAGACGCGCACGTACGTAAACACTAGAGTGATTCTCTAGTTAAGAATTACATTGTGTGATTTTCTTCGTCGTGGCGATGGTCCAGATCTTTCCTTCGTCATTATCAACCGCTGGAGTGTGTGGAATATTATTACCGGCGTAAAAGGTTGTAATTTGGTTATAGATACTTGGTTTTAATAGTTCGCATAAAATTTGGTTTGTACTGGCGCATGTGTTCTTTTGCTACCTGGCTCTGCAACGCGTTCGTTACAAAATCCACACGTGTTCTCCGTTTCCGGAATATGGACGCTTGACTCTACAGGTAGGTATTGATATGTAGAATCTATTGTAGTTGATCTGGGTCGAGCTGCTGAATGTCGAATATTTGATACGTGTGAGAGGCTTAAGAAATAACAGTCTGTCGTTTCACGCATACTGAACAGTCTGGGGCTGTGCACAAATATAGTTTCTTCATGTATAATTAATTCAGCGTCGTTACACATTTGTTTATGCAGTAGATTCACCTAATCAGATGATAGACCTATTATCACTCGCAAAATGGCTGCCTCCGGCGGCCATATTCGCTCGTTACGCTGATGAGACTACGATGATTTCTCTAAATCCCGGCCCGATTCAGAGTAATCTTTTAGTAAAATATTGACTTAACACAATAATACAAGAATCCTGTTACTAACATGACATTTTCTGTCCCGGTATATTCATTTCTATATAAAACACTTTGTACACACCTTCTAATCCATTGTTTTTCTTTTCAAATTAAGGCTAATATAATATACGGAACCCGCTTAATACGATTATTTTTCTTTGGCCCGTCAGTTTCGTACTAACGGGGTGCGACTGTAGTAATGAATTGTAGTAATTGAATAAGGAGTTTAGGCTTTGCAGTAATTGTATCTATTTGTGAACAATTTAACGCTACTAAAGTTCTTAATTATCCATATAAACCTATATAAAATATCTTGTACGCACCTTGTTTGTTAATTCGGGGTTAATATATGTTGAAGTGGTTAATACGAAACCAGCTTAATACAATTATTTGCCTTTTGCCCGTCAGTTTTCTACTAACGGGTTTGATTCTTGGAAAAATGTAGGCAAACGCTTCGCAGTAATTTAGTAGTTTATATCCTCCTGACGTAGTGTAGCGGAACGTATTGGTTTCGCGCCGTTTGTGTGCGTGCGTGTGCGTGTGTATGATGTGTGTGTGTGTGTGTGTGTGTGTGTGTGTGTGTGTGTGTGTGTGTGTGTGTGTGTGTGTGTGTGCGTGTGCGTGTGCGTGTGCGTGTGCGTGCGCGTGCGCGTGCGCGTGCGTGTGCGTGTGTGTCTGTCTGTCTGCTCGATATTTTTGCAACCGTTAGAAGTAGAAACTTCAAACTTGGTGAAGAACTTAGGTGGAACCCTATTTGATTTTGAGTGCTTTCACCTGTGCCATGATGATGAATGGATAGATAGATAGATCAGATAGATAGTAGATAGATAGATAGATAGATAGATAGATAGATAGATAGATAGATAGATAGATAAATAGATAGATAGATAGAGATAGATAGATAGATAGCAAAATAGATAGATTGATAGATAGATATGCGCTGAGTGCGAGCGGTGCAGGTGGGAGAGGACTTGATTCCACAGCCAGCGCGTGTGCCCTGGCGAATCTACTGCAAGGTTACGCGACAGACTACTGTATCCTATCCCTGTGTTGCGTGTTTGTAAGTCTACAGCCAGCGCACCTAGCGGAAGTGAACTGAATCGTGCATGTTTTCCAGAAAGATTTTCCATTATATTTTCTAAATATGGTTTTTTTAAACATATAACCCAATAAATGACAAAAAGCAAAAGTGTTAGAATCGAACCTGATGCGTAGGAATGAGGCACGAAAATTTTCAACCGGATTCGTGCCCGCGCCTAGAAGATATGCAGGAACAAACAGAACGACACTACTCAAATTATTATATAGATGTATCCGAATATTTAAGCTGATATACAGAAAATACTATGAGCCTGCAATTAGTGCATTTGCCAGGTGAATTTGGTTTTTTTCCTTCGTTTTCGAGAAATTTCGCGTTAATTTTGCTAACCAATAGTATAAGATATTAAATCAACGTAGTCAAGTGGATGACGTATGCAAAAGTGAATAGTCGCATTCTCTGCCATGAGAGAGACGTCTTAATTTGTTTTGGAAACAGCAGTGAAACGAAAATCCGCGAGTACCAACCACGAACAGGCAACACGGAGCTTTGAAGTAATTATCGACAAATCGTTCGACACATATGGTGATAACGAGCCCTTTCTTTCTTATCCCACTGAACGCGATTACCGTACGCGGTGGTATGAGGTCGTCTATTATATATATATATATCAAGAGTGCATAATAGAGATAATAGTGCTCTATTATGCACTCTTGATATATATATAATCTACGGCACGATACAGCGCCCGGCTTTTCCGAGACACATGACCCATTTTGTACGTAATTGGATCTGCTAAGGAGGAGTATGTGTCTGTAGTTCCCGTTGTTCTTCTTCTGTTATTCGTTCCTTGTAGCGCGAACATTGTTCGTCGCACGTACCAGTCGTCGCCCGTAAACTCGTGCAATAAGACATTTGTGAGAATGCCAAATGTCTTCTCTCGTAACTGAGATAACTAGCTCGGGACAAATCGCAATAAATCCCCATAGAAATAGTGAGCTACAAATGAAGGTTAGCCTCGTAACATGAGTAGCATGCCCTTATACTACCTTATAGAAAATAAAATCTCATTCGTCTATGTTGAGAGGGAATTATTTTTTTCGAGGTCAATCGATTGCAATCACAAATAGGTAACGATCGATCTGCTGATAACTCATGTCGAACGAGTGAGGTAGCAAAGACTGCTGATGATTACATACAGTTATTGCGTGATGATGACATTATTCGTCACAGTCTTGATGATAGGTGCCAAATGCAAAACGCCGTTTATTACATTCGACAGGGTAGTTATACTCTCTAGACATGCGCCCTGAAATAAGCATAATTCCTAGCAATTTTTACCAATAACCTGAATACCTAATCTGCTTGACGATGAATTAAGCTACACCTTGTTATATGCTCATATATAAAAATGCAGGATCGCTGACACGGACTTCTAGTCCATGTCGATCATGCAAGAACCACAATGAAAATAGGAACCACTTGTATAATTCCACCAAATCGATGTGGTCCGGTGATTGATTTATCGACACTCGATCACTCGTAGGGGGCGTTTTCCACAATCCCCCAATTTTATTAGATACGATGATATCATATACTTATATACTATATTAGCCCCAGATAACTGGTCAAGTATAATTATCAATGCACGGTTAAGGTCTAGGGGTGTGAAGTGTGTGTGTGTGTGTGTGTGTGTGTGTGTGTGTGTGTGTGTGTGTGTGTGTGTGTGTGTGTGTGTGTGTGTGTGTGTGTGTGTGTGTGTGTGTGTGTGTGTGTGCGTGTGTGTGTGTGTGTGTGTGTGTGTGTGTGTGTGTGTGTGTTGTATGATTAGCGCCTGCACTGCTGGCGGCCGTATAAACAGCAGGCCGCACAGGAGCGTGGCTTCGCGTGGGAGAGGGGGGGGGGCTTTACCGTACCAATAACAACCACCCGTCAGCACCGTCAGCCAGTTCGCCGCGCTTTCCCACACGCGTGCGCCGCATCCTAGCATGTGGCACACCACAGCTTCTCCGAGCATCCTCTTCCTCCTCCTCCTCCTTCTCCTCCTCCTCCTCCTCCTCCTTCATCCTCCTCCTCTTCCTCCATCCTCATCCTTCTCCTCCTCTTCCTCCGTCCTCCCCCG